ACACATTTAAAAGATATTTTAATATAAGAAAAAGACGAGCAATTTAAGAAAACATATCAGTTTTTCCACATGACGAAGAAGTGCTGCTTTGGGCTAAAATGTAAGAGATAAATGCTTAAAAGTAAAGAAAAAAGTTTTAGCTCATTCTGTTCACTAATTAATAGAATGTCTTTTTTTTTTTTTTTTTTTACTGTTAATTTTCCTTCGTACTGCTGTGATGTGCAGCTCTGCTCCATGTGAGGCTAACCCACAGGTGAACGCCTGAGATTCTGCTGCCTGGCTGCTCAATCGTTCTTCCTTCTTCTCTAGTTTTCTGTTATTATATTTTCATCAGACATAACAAATGTGCAGGTGGATGTTAGTCAGTCATTAGTTACAGAGTGATCCATTTGTCATGCTGCATAATCAGGAATTCTGTAACTAAGTTTCTATAATTACATAAGACAGTTTTGTAAGCAGGTCACCTGCTAAGGTTCGTGGTTCGATCCCTGGCTACTCAAGTCTGCGTGGCATAATGATTCCCAGTTGCTCTCCAATGCATCCATCAGAGTATGAATGTATGTGAAGCTCTATGTTAAATAGAAAGCACATAGCAAAACGTGCTTCTGTGAATGGCTGAATGAGGCACTGTGTAAAGCACTTTGAGTGCTCAGAGCAGGAACGAGTCCATTTACCATGACCAAATAACCAGCATATGAAGAAGCAGTTAAAAACATTCCATTTGTGTTCTTACAGATTCTTACAGCTCAGGATCTGGTGGACTTCTCGCCCGTCTACAGGTGTCTACACATCTATACTGTGTTGGTAGGTGTCTGTGGCGAAAGCTAATAACTAATGCTATCCATTGGTCTGCCTTATTTCTCTGTTCATTGGATTTTGATTATCTAATGACAGCTATGCTAATTAACTGGAATCAAGGTTATAGTGCTAACATCCAACGTTACCCCTGAAATACAGCACAGCTGTTTCATGATCAGCTCCAATGCTTGTGATTATATCAGTCTCAGCTCTCCTCTCTGTGTCACCTAAGATAGTGCCGGGTCTGTTTATTACCTAAGCCCCATGAAGCCCAGAGCAGGTAAAAAGGACGGGGATTCAGACACAGGAAGGTGAAACTACATGAAACCTGACAGATGATCCGACGAGGAACAAAGGAAAACACACGCCATACATACACAGAGGATAATGAGGAAATAGGAAACAGGAGGGGAACGCAGCCGAGACTAATCAGGCGTGACGAGACGGGGAGGAGAGCAAAGCTATAAACGCTAACAGGACACGGGACTGTCAAAGTAAAACAGGAAATACATGAACATAGAGACAAGGATGACTGGAAGTAACACAAGGGACCTAACAACAAAACACAACAACTAGAAATCACCAAAACACTAAAGAAGCAAGAAATACAAACTAAAAGCCACCGAGTCTCCAGACCCAGGACCAGGACAGTCTGTGGAAAGGGATGTGATAGTACCTGAGTGTTCTGGTTTGTAGCATCATGTATCATAGTTAATTGATCTATGTCTGTATTCTGTGTGTGAGCAGGGTGACCGAGAAACATTTGAGAACTACTACAGGAAACAGAGGAAAAAACAGGCCCGGCTAGTTCTGCAGCCTCAGGCTAACATGGTGAGCAACACAAGCGCTTTAACATACGTGTAAAGCATATGAATGAAATTCAGACAAGCGCTCGGGGGTTTTCAGTGGGCCTTTCATTGTGACTACATGGCACTAAACACAATCTGCCTTGTATTAATTTTTCCTAGAACCTGTGTATTTCTTACTATGACTAAATAGATTACTCACAGATCGTACAGCAGCTGCGATCCAGCTCTGGCAAAGCTTAGAAAACCATGACTGTTACTGTTTTTTCAGGGGGAAAATAAACAGCTGTACTTTGTATTTAAAAAGTTATAAAGGATGTTTTAAAGTTTTAGGATAACATCAGGAAAAAGCAAAACAGCCCCAGAGCAAGATGCTACCACCAGCATGCTCGGTGCACAGATAGGCGGCACCATCTCAGTCCATATCTTTACTATGGAGAGTGGTGCTGGTTCATCAGCTTCCAGGTCCCAGCAGGCTTGAGCCTCGGTGGTTCCTGGGATGAAGTCACAAAGCAAAAGCCATGTCAAACAAGAGCTGCAGAAATACAACTTTTAACTTGTTTTTTCTCCCTCCTATTTCAATATTTGCCTTACTGGTGACTGTTACGTTTGCATCTGTATTAACATGGCTTTGTGTCTATTTGTGTGTGTTTAGCATGAGACAGTGGAAGGCTACAGAAGATACTTCAATCAGATTGTGGGGTAAGATGTTCCTTTCAAATGCTCATCAGGCTGTTTTGTTTCACTGTGAACCTAAGTGTGTGTGTGTGTGTGTGTGTGTGTGTGTGTGTGTGTGGTCAGGTTCTTTGTTGTAGAGGACCATATCCTCCATGCCACTCAAGGGCTGGTGACCAGAGCTTATACTGATGAACTGTGGAACATGGCGCTGTCCAAGATCATCGCTGTACTCCGGACACACTCTGTAGGACCACACACACACACACACACACACACACACACACACACACACACACACACACACACACACACACCTCTAATGTCTGCAGGGCATTGACTGTGAATGGAAAAGATGCTGTTGAGAGTTAATAGAAATGATAGTTCCTTCATTCAGTGGATGATATACCCCTCACAGGTCAGCACACCCACAAACACACTAATGATGTCACTATTAAGAGCAGAGGTCAAAACACACATACACATGCAGGCAAAGAGGAGGCCATTGTGACCTTAATGAGAGACAGATTGCAACAATAACAGCAGATAAAGAAGGCATATTCCTGCCCGCTGGAGCCCTGTCAGTTGTAAATGACCCCGAGGATTATGCTAACAGGCTGGAGAATAGGCCGCACAGCATGGGTGAGAAGACTAACAAAGACCTGGTGTCCTCTGTGCCCCCCTGCTGTGCTCTGACAAAAGCAAGTCCACATTGTCGGGCTCCTGCACTTACAGCGAGTGCATGGTCAGCTAAAAGTAACAAGGCTGCATCAGATTGTTTAAAAAAAAAAAAAGCAAAACTAATACACGCAGATGATATACTTAATGAGTAAAATTCTCCCAGTGCGGGTTAAATAAATACAATATGCTTTCAATAGACAACAAAACGCAGCTTAAAGAGCAGATTTAGCACATTTGCATTCATTGGTCTGGATATGGTGGAAGTAGACTTAATTTTTTGTCATTTTTTAAGATTGTTGGAGTAGATGGAGAGGCCAGCCATTGCTGCTGAGTGTCCAGTCTCAGGCTGTGTTCATATACAGCTGTGCTGCTTTCAGGGTGATAAATCGCCCTACTCTCTGGAAAAGCGAGGACCTTTGTTAATGCACTGGCTTAACTTGTTTGTCATGTAGGCATTTTGACAGACTTCCTATAAAAATGTACCTAGTTAAAACTCTACACAGTATACAGTGCAGTTACTTCATATGTATTCAAAGGCCCAAAGTGGGTCATGGAGCAGGACGATGATCCTAAGCACATAAGCAAATGTGCTGCAGAGTGTCAGGAAAGAAAAAGAATCAAATGCTGTGGGGGGCTCTGAAGTGTGCTACGCCTAAACAGAGCTCAGTGAACTGAAACAATGTTGTCAACATGAGAACTTCTCACAATTATAAGTTCAGTTACTGATAAAGGTGGTCGGACACGCTTTTGAATGACAGGTTGCTCAGTTTTCAGAGGACTGCAAAGACTCACATGAACATAGATTTAGGAAGCAAAGCAGATAATGCGACGTTAGACCAGTGTGTGGTGATGACTCTCTTTCTGCAGTCATACTGTGACGACCCAGACTTGGTGCTGGAGCTGAAGAATCTCATAGTCATCTTTGCTGACACACTACAGGTTGGTTAAGAGTGGGACTTGACTTGTTTGTGACTCTGCCGTGTGAAAACGTGTTTTCTGACTGTGTGATGTTTGTGCAGGGGTTCGGCTTCCCGGTAAACCGTTTGTTTGACCTGCTGTTTGAGGTTAGAGACCAGTACAACGAAACCCTGCTGAAGAAATGGGCACTGGTTTTCAGGTGGGCTTCACTCACGTGTGGCGTCTGCCACAGTAGGACGTGCAGAAACACAAATGACAATTTGACAATAACAATTGTGTTTGCGGTAAGGCTTTCTGCTGTGACATCCCCGTCTGTATGCAGCCTGCACATTTTGTTTGAACATAGCAGAGCAGCTAAAAACACACAACTAAAACCAGAATCAGCTTTGTTCGTACTGTTTCAGCAAAGCATCAGCACCATGTGAGGGAAGGTGTTCTTTTTTTCACATCATTGATGCTGAAAATGGCACTGAGACGACATTAAACTGAACTGAACAAACAGTGGAGACCAAAGATAACTCTGATCTGTGTTCCCATAGAGAGATCTTTGAACTGGACAACTACAGTCCCATCCCAGTGGAGACAGAGGAGGAATATAAACTGGTTGTCAGCCGCTTTCCCTTCCACGATGCTGAGATAGAGAAGGTAATGTGTTCAAGTACCACCGTCTCCCCAATCTGGCACGGTTGCATCCACGTAAAAGAAAGATTTCCTAAAAGACAACTAGTGTTGGATGAATATTAATACAGTTTTTCTGTGTGCATAAGCAGCAGGACTTTCCTAAGAAGCTGCCAATGTCCCAGTCTGTCCCTCAGATCTACACCCAGGTCAAAGAGTTCATTTACGCCAGCCTCAAGTTCTCAGAGTCACTACACCGCAGGTACACTACTCTGTGTTCACTCGCCACACGAACACTTCTACATATCTAATCTCCCCGGACTGCCGTCTCTTCACTTTACAACTGTCAAGTTTGTTGTGTGTCCAGTTCAACAGAGATTGATGACATGTTGCGAAAATCTACCAACCTGTTGCTGACAAGAACTCTCAGCAGTTGTCTGCAAAACCTTATCAAGAAACCTCACATAGGACTGACCGAGGTTAGAACTGCTCACACACACACAGTCGTGAAAAGCATTCAGGATTCAGGCTACAACTGTAACCATGTCTCTGTAGCTGGTACAGATCATCATTAATACCACCCACCTGGAGCAGGCCTGCAGGTATCTGGAGGAATTCATAACAAACATCACCAACGTCTCCCCAGAAACAGTTCACACCACAAGACTCTACGGACTGTCGACCTTCAAGGTGATTTGTGCCTTTAGCAGTCACCTTCTTCATACCTCGGTTGTGATGAGTTTACTGTTAGCTTTCTTACCTCTGAGCAGTCTGGCCATTCTTTTCTGACTTCTTGCATTTTCATCTGGTGAACAGATTCACTTTTTTAGTCTAGAAACTGATATAAGAGAATCCCAGTAAATCAGCAGTTATTGAGACAAGGCAAGCCACGTTCAAAAACACCTTTGTTCATCGTTCTGATGCTCAGTTCTTCAGCAGGTCGTCTCTGCTTCCATCCCTGATTACATTCAGTTGCTGCCATGTGATTGGCTGATTAATGAGATGTTAAACGGGTGTACTTAATGAAGTGGCAGAAGTTGAAGCTCTGTGTCTCCATTCCGAAAATGAATGCGTGTAGGAAGAACAATAATATTTGCTCCCATTAACTCTTGTGAAAACATTGTTCCAGGATGCTCGTCATGCTGCAGAGGGAGAGATTTACACCAAACTGAACCAGAAGATCGATGAGTTCATCCAGCTAGCAGACTACGAATGGGGCATGGCCGAGTCTGACGGCCGCGCGTCAGGGTATCTCATGGACCTGATCAACTTCCTACGATCTACCTTCCAGGTGTTCACACACCTCCCGGTGAGTGTGAGCCGCCTCCAACCTCTACACGTTAGCTCAGCACCTCTGTCTGGGAGCTGTGGAACATGAACAGTGTGGGGTTGTGTTGTTGTTGTCCTTTCTGTTCACACACTAGCTGTATGGCGTGCTGTGAGGTTGATCTTTTGTTGATAATACGAACGCATGATTATTTTTGTTTGTTTGTTTTCCTTCCCTGACTTCCCACCATCACTCTGTTGTTTTTTACGCCCTCATAGCATTTCTGTCAGATTGTAGGTGCTGTCTGAAAAAGGTTTATACTGTGGATATCACGTTGAGCTATGTACACGTTGCAGTGCTGATTTCTGCATGATGTGCTGTTACTGGCTTGTGCAATGTTTTTGCAAACTGACATCATCTTCAACCCAACGGAGCACATTAGATAGCAAAGTGTAAAGGACTTGATCAGAAACTGTTATTTGAGCTCACAGCCTGATTGGTCTGTTGGCTGTACCTGCCCTTCTCACCTGCATGTGCGACTATTTCTCCTTATTATCTCCTGCTGTGTCTCCATCCACACCTTCTGTAATGCACAGCTTTGTAACTGAATTTTTTACTCCTTGATTAATTTGACATGTCAAGCATGCAAGATATCTCTAGCTGAACTTACCTCCTCCTGTCCATTTATTGTTGCCACATTTCTTTTCCTGTCCTTTCCCTCTTTCCCTCTCCTTCTTCCATTTTTGGTTGGTTTGGGGGTTCTCTGCTCAGAATAACAACAATGATCATGCATCAATGTCGGTGAGTATCCCTGCCTGGATTTATAACACTTTGCTGCTAAGCTACAGGCAGAATGGCGATACAATGCATGCTAATGTTTGCCTTCAGAAGTCCCACAACTCTAAGCTTGTGGTTCTGCCATAGACTGAATATAAAAGATTGATGTAGCCACCATGACATCACCTATGAGGTATTCCCATTGTGAGCATTTTGTTTCCATTTTAGCTCTTTGAAACGGGACATTACAGGATAGGCGGACCTTACTGTGGCACAGGGGGACACTGCAGGCTAACTGGCTCAAGACTTGACAAGTCTGCAACTCAGCACTTTTGCTTTGGCTTCACTTTTCAGACATGAAAGCTATCTTTAATATACAATCTGGAACTGTTGCTAATGAAAACATTCACAGACCATAATTACATTCAAACTTGAGCAACAGATACTTTTATCTGCGGGAAAGCTGTGAGACCAAGGATGAAGTAACATCCACTGCATATGAAAGCTAAGGCCAGAATACTGCAATTCAGCTCACCTTTATTTATACAGCACCAAATCACAACAGCAGATGCCTCAAGATGCTGTACTGTAAAGTAAAGACCCTGCAATCAGTCTTTACCTTGGCAACAATGGAAAGGAAAAACTCCCTTTAACAGGAAGAAACCTCCAGCAGGACCAGGCTCAGGGAGGGGCGGCACAGCCGGTTGGGGTTAGGGGAGGAAGCACAAAGACAGACCCAGACATTTATAATAACTAATAATTAAATGAAGAGAGATGTGGGTGAGTGAAAGAGGTGACTGAAGAAGAAGAAAAACTACATCATGGAAATCCCAGTTTTTTCATGCAAATTGTTTCGGTGTGTTTCTAGACTCCGTTTGCTTTTGAAGCCAAGGTTTCATTTTTATCTCTGCTGTTGAATGTTGAATGTCCTGTTAGCTTTATAAACAGTGGCACAGTGGTTAGCACTGTTGCCTCACAACATCCTGGCCAGGGCCTTTCTGTGTGGAGTTTGTTTATTCTAGTTTTATTTTATTGTCTATTATTCTTATTTTGTTTTACTATTATTTAGTTTTCATTATTGTTTAATACCTGTTTTATATTTTATTGCTGTCTGGAAATAACTTTGGTCAACTACGTTGTGTTTTTTAAACTGCTCTAAAAATAGAGTTGTAATGGTTGGAAATTAGAGTCCACTGGGATCTGAGTGCAGGGTGGATATTACCTTCAGTACGGATGCCTGCTTAGAGGAAGGTAGGAAATTAAGAACAACTAAGGTCTCTGCAGCTGTCTGTGAGTTTGTTAGCAAGGGAGCATAATTCAGGCCCATCTGCAAGGTGTAAAAATGTTGTGTTCTGGCCTCACTTTCAGTGCTACAGTAAACTACATGTAACTCTGAACTTGATGCCAGTCACTGCTAACCAGGAACACCAGCTGACTGGTGTTTATATAGTGAACCTGGAAACTTCTTTGAGGCCACACCTAGCAGCTACACTCGGCACACTTTACATAAATAAAACTTCTAAACTCCAGGCAATAGATTGTTTTATACTAGCTGTACTATACTTTATGGATCAATTCAAAGTTCGTTCAAAGTTGCATTTCTAACACTTGAAGGAGATTTAACATGAAGCACTTCCAATTTGTTCAAGGTGCCCATGTGAAACAAAATCCAGGTACCAGATATTCAAATCAAATCCAAAACAAAAAATCAAATTTATTTATGTAGCACATTTAAAGACCGAAGTACACCAAAGTGCTTTCCAGTAAAACCATGATACAGATAAAAATCACAATATAAAATATAAATTACAGATATAAAATAATTACATAATCCAAATGCAGAGCCAGATGTAAATTACCCTAATTAGCCTCGAATGCCAGGTTAAACAAGTACGTTTTTAGACGTGATTTAAAAGATTCAATAGAATCTGATGCGCGAATGTCGAGAGGAAGATTATTCCATAATTTGGGTGCGGCAATGGCAAAGGCACAGCCTCCTCTGGTCTTCAGCCGAGACCTAGGTTGCACTAAGAGCAGTTGGCTAGGGCTACCACGATTTGTCGACTAGTCACGATTACGTCGACTATCAAAATCGTCGACGACTGATTTAATAGTCGACGTGTTGTTTGAAGCTTTGTAAGATCGCAAAAGACGCAGGAATAATAGCAGGATTTAAGAGTGTAATAACGGACTGAAACAGAAGATGGCAGCACTGCATGTACAAGGATGCCAGCTGCCGTTAAACCCCGAAGAAGAAGAAGTAGCTCTGTCCCAGAATTCATAGCGCGGCCCAGCTCAGTTTCCAACAATGGCGGCAGCTAGTTAGTTTTAATATTACTCTTATTATTCTTTCTGGGTCACAAAATAAACGTTTAACATATTTTCAGGCGAGAATGTAGCTGTGTAAACCTCAAATATCTGCTCAGTTTATCAGGACACCACATATTTTCAAAAGCGCTCCGACGTTTTCGGAGACGTCTGTTACCCACTAGCTCGATAGCTAGCCGGGGGCTAGGTCACTAGCGCCGTGAGAACACCGGACTCCCGGCAAATTGTTTTCAAACCCACCGCCGTCTTTCGCGACTCAGGTTAAATATATATGAGTCACTTAGATAAATTAAAAATGTTGTTGTTTGGCTTTTTTTTTTTTTTAGTATTTTATTTGTTCCTGAGTAAATCGGTTTGGCTGAGATTAAAGTTATAGTTTTTACACAGCTGAATAAACGTCAAGCAGACAGCTGATTATCAGAAGTGTGAGATGCTGGAGAATATACTCCGGTGTCCTGTTATATTTTAGATAGCAAGGAGTTTATTAAACTTTACCGAAACAATCTGCAAATTTCATTAAAATTGAATAAACTATCATCTTGTCTTTATTTTTAGTTAGCACCTTAAAAGCTTAAAGCTGTAAGCTAATGATAGTTATATAAGAGCAGATGCTGCTGGTGCAATAAGCTGTAGTTTTACGTCCAGTGGATGATGATCTGATTAGTCGACTAATCGCATAAATAATCGGTGACTAGTCGACTATCAAAATAATCGTTTGTGGCAGCCCTACAGTTGGCCCGATGATCTGAGGGCTATACAGACAGAGGAGATCAGTAATCAGGTGCCATATTATTTAGGATTTTATAAGTAAACAATAACATTTTAAAATCAATTCGATATTTAATAGGAAGCCAATGTAAGTTGGCCAGAACAGGAGTGATAGTATCATACTTTCTAGTGCCGGTTAAGAGACTTGCTGCGGCATTTTGGACCAGCTGCAATCGCTGGAGGAGGGAAGATTGGAGGCCCAAGTAAAGAGAATTACAATAATCTAGTCTTGAAGTGATGAAAGCATGAATGAGTTTCTCCAGATCTTTGCGTGGTATATAAGGTTTAGCCTTAGAAATTTGGCGTAGTTGGTGGAAGCTGGTTTTTACCACAGTAGAAACCTGTTTATCTAGTTTGAAGGAACTATCCATGAAAACTCCAAGATTCCTAACAGCATCAGTGAGGTGGTTAGCAACAGGCCCGAGTGTGCCGGTCAGTTGTCTCAGAGGCATATTTCTATCAAAAACAATCATTTCTGTCTTCTTTTCATTTAAAGTAAGAGAGTTACGTGATAACCAGTCTTTGACATCCCTCAGACAATCAAACAGAGGATGTAGTGAAGATGAAACATCCCCAGTCAGGTGGAGGTAGATTTGAATATCATCAGCATAGCAGTGAAAAGAGACATTATGTTTTTCAAAAATGGAGCCCAAGGGCAGCATATACAGAGAAAACAACACAGGACCCAGCACCGAGCCCTGGGGCACACCACAGCAAAGAGGGGCAGAAGAAGAGGAATATTTTCCCATCATGACAGAGAACGACCTCTCAGAGAAATATGATGTAAACCATGAGAGAACGTTTCCTTTAAGGCCTGCTACTTGTTCTAACCTTGCCAAAAAAATATCATGGTCAACCGTGTCAAAGGTGACGTCAGATCTAATAGAACTGAGAGCGCAGTGCACCCAGAGTCAGCGATGAGAAGAAGGTCATTGAAAACTCTTAATAGGGCAGTTTCGGTGCTGTGACGCGGTTTAAATCCAAACTGGAATTTATCACTTATACCGTTTATCTCTAAATGGGTCTGTAGTTGCTGAAGCACTATTTTCTCTAAAGTTTTTGACATGAAAGGGAGTTTAGAAATCAGATCGAATGTTATGATCAAGGCTGCTTTTCTTGGTAACAGGTTGCACGACTGCATGTTTAAAGACAGTCGGAACACAGCCAGATAACAGTGATGAGTTCATTAAAAATAAGATACAGGACCCGATTGTATTCAATGCATCCTTAATGATACGAGAAGGAATAATGTCATGCAAAGAATTTGAGCTTCTCAGGTTATTAATTATTTCCTTTAAAGCTGAGGATGACACAGGTTCAAACTGTTGAAAAACCGTTGAACATTCGGAAACTGGGGCTTGATTTACTGCCGGGGAATGTGGGGCCCTTAACACTGAGATTTTATCTATAAAATGATTTAGAAATTTTTCGCAGAGGGCCAGGGAGGCACCCATCGAAACATCAGAGCAGGGATTAACCACTGAGTTAAAGATTTTGAACAGAACTCGAGGATTGTGACTATTAGTTGCAATGATGTTCGACAAAAAATAAGTTTTTGCCAATTTGGCAGCCTTCTGAAATTTAGATCGGCTCATATGCAGGATGTCAAGGGACACCTGAAGTTGATCTTTTTTCCATCTCCTCTCAGCTCGACGACATTCACGTCTAAGAGCGAGGGTGGATTCGTTTAGCCAGAGTTGGCGAGAGGTTTTAGGGCGTTTAGTCTTTACTGGAGCCACAGTGTCCAAAGTTGAAGAGCATCTAGAAATGAAAGAGTTGACTAGGCCATCAACCAAGAGAGGTGCATTACTGATGTCATCGTAACAGACAGAGTTAGCAAAGGCCGCAGAGAAATGGGCAACAACCTCAGGATTAATCATACGCGATAGGCTCAGTGGACCCTCAGAGTTCAGTTCCATATTGCATAACTGAACATCAAACATAACTGGGAAATGGTCCGAAATCCCAGCATCATTAATGTCCGTGATGCAAATATCCATTCCATACAACAATACCAATGCCATCCCAGCTGGCGAACATTGCTATAATCCACACCTCCAGAGACCCGCTTGCAGCTCCATACAGGGCACTCAACTGGTAAGACCGAGTGGGCTTGCTGGCCAGCATAGCAGATCCATCGATGACAACACAGTCTAAAAGTATACTGGGAGGGCCACAAGATGTCCATGATGGAGTGGTAATTAATCACTTCATGTGCTATTCGCATATATTGTAAAAGATATTGTGAAATGCACTATTTTATACAGTTAACAACTTACTATCGATGTTCATTTATTGTAAACTTTACATTTATATCCCCTCCGTGAATCACTACCTAATTGTGGTGGAGTTGCTCGTGTGTCCTAGGGATCCGATGGTACATTCTCCCTACAAATTGGTCCTGGGTGTGGGACCAGTCAAGAGCGATTCAGAAGACTCTTATGAGTACAACATCAAGGGACATGGGACCACCCTCGTTCTCGGAGTCCCTGGGTGAGGAGCTTGAGATACTCCACCCGGGGACTCTCTCCACATGAGCAGCACGACAACAACAGTGAGACCTGATAGGGTGTGATTGGGAGAAACGGCCTCTCCCACCTAGGGCTGGCCCATATCATACCGTTCACGGTAATACCGGTATAATGTT